AATAAACAAAGCAAACAGACAACACTAAGATTCATACACTCCAAGACGCAGGGAAGGGCAAGGACTTTGTGTGGTTCACTGCTACAGCTCTAGGATGCTACCATGGCCTAGATACCATGCCTAGGCCATGGTAGGCATTCAACAAATACTTGTTGAAGAGATGAATGAATAAAGGCATGAGGCATATGTCCAATCCAGCTCCTGACTTTAGTCCCTAGCACTCTTCCTTTCGAGGTAAGAATAGACAGTTGATCATGACTTGGAGGCAGCTCTGAAGGCAGCTCAGGCATCAGCATGTGGACCCAGAGACCCAGGGCCTCAGAAATGTCCCTTTGGAGGTGCAAGGGCATGTGTGAAGTTCCCAGCTGAGTTTTCATTAGTGGTGGGGGAAGCCGTCTACACCTAGCCTGCTCCTGCAGCCACCCTTAGGAGGCCGAGGACCAGACATCTTTGGCACTATGCAATCCAGCTGAGTGGAACTCTAAATCTTTCCCTTAAAGACAGTCTGGAGTTGGACCAGAGCCTTCCATACCCATCCTCAGAGAGGTCCTGTGGGCAGAGCCCTGTGGATAAAGGCATGAGGAAGCCTAGCCTTTGGGGGCAGGGGGTCTCCTAGGATCACAATAGGCTCTCCATCTGGGTGAGCACGCCTGCCATGCTCACTGCCTTCCTGAAACCCATGTCCAGCCCTTCTACCTTACCTTTCATTCACCACTCAGCTAGATGGGCACAGAACATTCAAGAGCAAACTTTGTTAGTTGGAACCTGAGTAAGTGCAAGGTTCCTAAAATAAGGCCTCCTACAGGTCCAAGGTTTGAGGGGCGGGAGGTGGGGGAGTGTTACAGGACACTCTGTCCCTGAGAGCTGAGGTACCACTGACCCTCACCCAGCTATGAGCATCTAGAGCAGAAAAGTGCCACGAGTTTACAAGAAAGAGACCCCAAAGCCTGGCCCAGGAGCATTGGGGTTATTTTCCAAATATTACCCCTGGGTAATATTTCATTTCAGAGTGCCCAGCGCAGCCCCAGAGAGATCCAGCTTACCACAAGTGCAAGTCCCGCCAGCAGTTTAGGGAAGTCTGACCCCCTAAACCAGGCCCTGTGTTGGAGGTTTGGAGAAGCTTCCACACCAAAGAAGAGAGGAAACAATGCGCTTTATAAAGAACCATATTTATTTTCATTTACAGCATCAAATACCATAAATAAAGCTAAACATTGTTTGCTGTGTGCAAAATACAGGGTTCGGGGTGGCACTGGAAATGACTACTAAAGGTCACAAACATGCGCAGTGCTGAAATGCGGAGACTAGCTAGTGAGAAGACTGACAGGGGAGGAGGGCACTCTTTGGTTGACATTCTATAAAGGGAGGGAGACTCTGCAAGAGAAGATAAGACAAGAGCAATGACTTGGCAGTGGCTAGGATCTGCACCGATGCAGCAAGCAATGCAGCATGCAGGGCTGGCAGCCAGGCCGAGAGGGCAGCCTGGCTCTGTGTCGCATGCAGGACAGACACCAACTGCAGCCTGAGACCCACGGCCTAGTCTACAGGAGCCCCACTGCAGGGGTGTAGATTCTCTCTAAGAGCACTTGGTCCGTGGCTCCAGAATAGCAAGAATGTGTTTATAGCCATGGGGTATGGAAACCCACTGCTCCAGGCCTGGGACTGAATCAAATCATCTTTCAGAGGCCTCCCTAGCCTGTGGCGATGCCTGCTCTAGTCGAGCTTCTGCATCATCTGGAGCTTTGGGAGCCAAGAGAGCTAAGAAAAGCCACAGTGAAACCCTTGGGTCTCTGCGGCAGAGAAAGGAGTTGCTAGAAAAACTGATTATATATTCAGATACAGAGCACGGGTCAAGCTTGGGATGAAGTCTGGGAGCATTATTTTAAAATCCCACCATGATCAATCAATAAGATTTCTATTTGAAGCAACTTAAGCAGACACTCCTGTGCATGTGATTTTTAGAAGTTGCTAGATAAAAGAGTAGTTGTTTTCAAAGCTGACAGAGACCTCTCAAGGGTACTGTCTCACAATCATCATTAACCCTCCCAGGAAGGTAGCTGGCTTCATAAGTGCGACGGGAAAAGCATGCACCACACAGGCCACGGGGGAGCAGGAGGAGGTGGGGCGTGCACCTGGTGTGGACCCGGTGGCTGGCTCAGAGGTAAGCAGAATCAGATACGGCTCTTGTAGGAACACCACCCACCTGCTAACCAACCATGCCACCGAATCAGTCCATTAGTATGCAAGACATTCACAGCATGACCATTACCCCAGGGGGGAGAACAGACCAGGTGGGGAAGCGGGTTAGGGGTTAGTACCACTCTCTGAAAATTGGCAAGAGAACAAGTCACCTCAGAGCAGAAGTGTGTCAGCCAAGAAGTGGGTGTAGCACTGGAAGACTGAAATGAACTGGTGGCCACGGTGCAAGGTTGGAGAGAGAGAGAGAGAGATAGAAAAAAGAATTTAGTTTGGGGAAAGAAGGAAAACAACTGACAACTGGAGAAGGCGGGGGAGTTGAAAATCAGGCAACAATTTGATAACGGGAAACTTCCCCACACAAGTCACTGCAGGTTGAGGACAAGTGAACCTTTCTGGTAGAGACCAGTTGCTTAGGTGTAAGACAGAGCCCCAGGCCGTTTGCATATGCCAACATCCCTGGACTCCACAGCAGCTTGTGTCCATAGGATGTCCTGCCCCCCACCACACCTTCTCAGACCCAATCGATTTGACTCATGTCTCATGTTATTTTGGATTATGTTGTGGAGACTTAGAGGCATTCACCCCGGTGGGGATCCACCCGGGTGGGGCCCTTGGTGCGACCTACCAAGAAGGTTCAAGGTCCCAGAATATACAAACATTTCAGGCTTCTGACAGGCACGCCCTGTCTCATCAAGAGTAATTCAAACCAGTCTCTGCAACCATAAATGACATTCTCAGAGGTCTCAGCCTGGTTTCTTGGAGCATTCCATAAAGCCTCTAAGCCCACCCCACCCTGAGCTGGTGACAATGACAATAACATGGCTTTGCCCGTGTTCACTTCATGACCTTGAGGACTTACTTTCTAGAATCAAACATAAAGCGAATGGAGGATTCCTCCCACTATGCTGAACATTAAAATCCCAGCAAAAAAAAAAAAAACGGGGAAAACACCAGGCAAGTCATTGGACAGAGGAGAGTACCGCAAGGACAGAGGCAACGTTTCTCAGGAACTTGGCCTTGGCCATGTCCCTTTTTTACCCAAGACTTTAGGGAAGTATTTGGAGAAAGGCCTCTCCTCTTCTTCCTACCCTTTAGAAATTTGTCATCTCAAAGCTCCCAAGACCTGGGGCTCCTAACCCATAGCAGCCTCCATCCTTATTGGAGGAGACCTCCATGGCATAGAGCTGACTCCAGGCCTCAGCTCTCGGTAGGCGGAGCAGGGTAAAGATCTGTCCCATTGGCCTCTCCACTATTCAACCAGACCTAGCAGCTGTGCATGTTCAGGCAAAGTGGACGGGGAGCTGAGCCTCCTCCAGACGCCCAGAGTGAAGAATGCAGGTGGGTCAATGCCTACCTGGTTTTGCCCTTACTAGGATATATTTATTTTGCATCAGTCAGCAAACAGCTTCCACTCCCAGATTCCCTTGCCAGGCAAGACACAGGGGAGCTTTCCTCTGGAGGTCACATACATTCTTTTGCTAGGACACTGTGAACATAAATTGTTTCTGACTGTTTTGGCCAAATATGCATGGCTGTTGAGTGGCCAAGCAGCCAGGATGCCTGCAAGCAATGCTCACTGGCAGACCATGCTTCTCAGCTATATTTCCCTGAAGTGCTAACAAACACCCTCAGACTCCAAGGACATAAAACGAAAGGCAGATTCTCCCTCAATCTGACCATTACAGCCTTGGAGTGGCTGGAGGCCTGAATGGGATGGAACCCAGGGGGTGATAGCTCTGGCCCACACCACCTACGGACTTAGCTCCTCTTCAGCCTTGCATCAGCTTGATGGAGTGCTCTGTCATCCAGTGCCAGGGTGCTTTTGCTGAGCACTCATTAGTGGGAAGAGAAAATGTATGTCTGCAGCAATCTGGTTGAAAGCCCGTGGTTCTGTCATTTGGCTGTGACTTGGTATGGGGCTCAGAATGTTTGAGCTACTATTTGATTTCAAAACAAGGGAGCAAAGATAACAGTTAACTAAACACTGCCATGTGCTTTTGTAGGTTTAATTCTCCTCTGTCCCCCTACTCCGTTCTTCTAAAATTACATACTACAAAAAATTGTCCCCTGTGGTCAAGTAGCATCTGGGCACAAAAATGGAAGTGGAAAGGCAATGGCCTGGGAGGGGGCACAATCATTTTGTTTGTATAAAGGCCAACATCAAAAACATTCAGGCAGGGGCTCCACGGTGTGGAGGGGGTTTGTTATGCACACCAAACCCGTGCTTAGAAAAACTGACACAGGGAAAAAATTATTTCTTGGCTTATAAAAAATTGAAATGTAAACCCAGAATATGGCTCACTTTGGTATAAAAAAGTAGAAAACTATTAAAAAAAATCCTTCATGTTCTGCTGGCCCCAGCACTGAGTGCTGATGCGCACCCTGGCAAGGCCAGGGCAGGTGGCCAGCGCAGGACTCTTTGGATATGAGCTAATTGGGTAAAGAACGCCAGGCGTCCTGGCCAGCACCCTCACTAACTAATACCTCTACTCGGGAAATGGTACGGCACTTTGGGGCAGCCTCGCCTCAGCGGGGCTTGACCGGGAGGTACTGGAGCACCCAAACACGGATGCTCTCCAGGGACTCCTCTGACTCCTGGTACATGGAGGCCAGGACCTCGGAGAGCGCCCAGAGGAGGGGCAGCCCGAGGCTCAGGAGCTCGTATGTGTAGCAGTAGTTGTAAGCATTGTCCCTGATATGGAGACCAGTGGCACGCAGGAGTCCCTGAATCCAGTTAAGCAGGCTCCGGGGCAGCCTGAGAGGCCAGCAGAGCGCCTTCCTAAAGAAGGAAGTGGTGATACCTGGGGGGCTGCCTTCAGGTGTGCCAATGGCGGCTACTGCGCAAGAACTTTCCTTGGGAGTGTCTCGTCGAGGGGCTTCTTGCTCTTTCCATGCATCCCCCTCCTGAGGAATAGATCGAAGAGATGACATTCAGTGCATGGTTCATACAGAAGACTCCTCTACTGATGCAGAGTTGATAAATACCTAACTTGAAAGATGCTGCATTTTGCAATAGTACCCCCCAAATGGTCTCTTAGCACTGCTAAAGGGGAGCTGAATATGGATATGACTTTCCTGGGGGACAAACTGGGCACAGGTTTCATGAGCCTCCAAAACACATGTCCTTTGATTCAGCAACCCTGTTTCTTCTGCTAGTGTCTAAGTAAATAATTTGAAATATGGATAAAGCTGGGCATCTGAAAACAGGTACTGTAAAAATATAAGGTAAAAGTATGAAATGAAAATGTCCAACAAGTAGGGGGCTCAAGTTCTTAGCCATCTTTTATAGGTACCAGAAGTTATGCTCTGAAAAAAATTTTAATGTCATGAAAACTGCTAGTGAAAATAAGCATATGAAATTGTGGTGATGGGATTCCAATTAGGTTAAAATATAGCCACATAGAAAAGTTGGTAAGAAAATATACAAAATTCATAAAATGTTAATTATGGTTTCCTCGGGATAAGTGAGGATGGGTGGCTTTAAATTTCCTTCTTTATCACTTTCATTTACCCATTTTTTCTGCACTGAACTCATATCACTTGTGTAAGCCGAGAAAAGCCTTAAGTTGAGGGTCTTTGTGGGTGGAGGGTGATTAATTAAGCTGTGGAGAAGGGATTTGCTAAGTGCTGCCAGAGGGAGCCGTCTCAGACACCCTCATAAATTCAGAAGACCAGTCTTTGCAGACATCCAAGTGGCAGGGACAGGACATGGAAATCACACAGATGGATCACGTTTCAGGTACCCTTGCCAATAGTGCCTGGGGGCAAAGTGAGCTCCTGGCATTTTCGTGGCTGAGCACGTAATCCCATCTGTGGCATTTGGGAAAGCTCTCTGGGCTTTCCCACGAGAGCAGCACCGTCACTCACCTGGAATGGGACACTCCGAGGCTGCTGAACAGACAGAGGCAAAGGGGGTCTCCACGCCAGGGGGCAGAGAGGGGAGTCTCGATCCCTCTAGACCCAGAAACCTTGGAGAACCCTTGCAAGTCTTGGGCGGGGCCTTCCCTCTCCACCTGCGTTTTAGAGACAGAACGTACCTCTCTTTGTTGCTTTAGCTCTGCCCGTCTCTTCCGTTGCTTACTACTGGTTTTACAGTGGATGAAATGAGGCTTGCAGTAAAACTTGCCTGTCAAAGAAAGACACACGCATGCACGCATGAAGGTTTTTCTCCTGTAAAGCGGAGACACAGCAGACACAAGCCAAGGGCCTGCCACTGTTTAGGTCAGAACATGCCAATAATGGAAAGAAGACCAGGATGGTTTGGGAAATTGTTTGTCACCTGCCTTAAAGGAAGTGGCAATAAGCTGAGGCAGGCTGGTGGGGAGATCCTCAGGATGGGGCCAAAACCTTTGGATAATCCCCAAAGCGGATGTAAGCCATGTAAGCCGCCTCCAAGGCCAGTGGCCAGGCAGCAAAATGGAGAGCTCTGAATACCAACACTGTTTCTATCTCCTCTTGCTCTCTGGAAACCTTGGGAGCAGAAGACTCAGAACAGATGGTGGCAGTGATGGGGAGGAAAAGACTCAGGTGAGACATGCAGTGGTCACTGGCCACTGCCCAGGACTACTGGGTGCCTTCTTGGCTCAGTTTCAACAGTACCACAGTGACGATGATAATGATAAAACAGTAACAACTTAGCTGGGACTCCAAATGTACTAGGCATTATCCTAAATGTTATGCTTGAAGCATTTCACTGGTCCTCCCAACAACTTTATGTGCTAAGTACCTGTAGCATCTTCATTTTATAGACGAGGAAACTGAGGGAGCGAGAGGCTAGGTGATGGGCCTAAGGTTATATAGCTAGTAAGGGGAACAGTTTGGATTTGAACCCAGGCAGCTTAGTTTGACTATGTAATCATGGGCACCGTGCTATACTGCTCTTGTTATACACAACAGTGCAAATGTCAAGTGTTGAAACTTGGAAAACAATCACTCACACCATCCACTGCAATTCCTTCTTTGATGATCTCTTGTAAGGCACTTAGCAGAGGGATGTTACTGCTATGGCTAGTTTCATAATATGTACCTAATAAACGCTAACGTTAATATGACATCACTTATCGACTCTATTGCCAAGTGTGGTGTCGGGCACATTATATAGGTTACCAGGTTGATTTCCTCAGTGACAGGGGCAACAGGTGGTAGAGAAGCTGCATGAGAAAATGCACATCAAGCACTTGGCACATAGTAGGTGCCCTCTAGGGAATAGCCGGGAGCCAACAGCTCCCCTTTCCTCAGGAGCCGTGCCCACCACAGGCCGCCTCCCCCTAACTAGACCCCCTGCTCCCTGAACAGTTTTCCAGATGACAGTGTATTCCCTGGGAAGTGCTGGGCCTCCCAAAGCCTCCAGAGGGACAGGAGCCCAGGCTGGCCCCTGGGGGGTTACCTTCATCGCCATCAAAGGCATAGGCTGCCAGGCGCAAGGAGGTGGCACAGAGGCTGCAGCGGAAACACTCTCGGTGGAAGAAGTGGCCCTCTGCGCTCAGCCGCTCCATCACGTACACGCGCTTCTTGCAGAAGTAACAGGTGTCGCTGCCTCCCAGGTTCATGGGAAATGTCTTTCGCATGGATTCCTGGGGACACAGGGCATCGGGAGACAAAGGCAGCATATTAGGGCTTATATGACATTTTCACACGCCAGGTCTAGGCTTTTAGAAATTCCAACCTGAATTAAGGGAACCTGTGGGCTCCAGCTACTGTGTCACTGCAGGCACCAAAGTGGAGGGAGGGTGGAGAACACTTAGACACAGACCCCAGCCTGGGGGGACTGCTGCTATTGTAACTGAGTGATTCTTCTGGTCTGACTGAGTGGGCCTCCCCACAGGCAGGCTTTCCCAGGGACAGTCTCTTCTTATCTGTCCCAGGATGGGTCAAGAGTGAGGTCACTGGAAGAGTGTTTTATATCACTTGACCCCTGTAGTGATGCAGAGCAGGCAAGGAAAGCTTGTGGCATCAAAACCTTTCAGAAAACTGCAGGAAAGGGAGAGGCTGTGTCCTCCAGCCCACCAGGCTGCCAGTCAGATCCCTAAAGAAAGGGGGGAGGGTGAAGGGCAGGACAGGGTCACACCTGAGTTATTCCAGAGAATGTGCCAGAAGGAAACCAAAATATCATCAGCTTAAATCAGCGGGGATGATAGTGAGTGGCCTGGTTTGGAAAAGGGGAGACCTCAAAGGAAAGGATGATTTCTTCCTGACCCGAACTCTCAATCTGATGCAAAAGGCTATGCAGGGTGGACCCCAGGGATGGCTAACTATGTTATGTGGACAGCCTCACCGGGTCTTCTCTCTGAGTTCTCCAGAGCCCCAGACAGTTTTGCCTTGTGAAAAGACCCGCGGGGCTCTGGGGGTTGGAGTAGTGGGAGAGAGACTGAGCAAGGTTTATCTTTAAGGAAATGCAGACTCCTGAAAGTGATCACCGCACCTGCGGGTCCCCATGAAGGGGGAGCATTGAAGGGCCACTGTGTCCTCTGCACAACCCTGTAGGCCCTCCCTGGGAGGTCAGAGCCAGTGTCTGTGGGTGAAGGCTGAGGGGTGTGCATCCTTACCAGGTCTGGAGAGGTGGCCTGGGCCTTAGGTCTGTGATCATTCATGTACAGATTGACCAGGACTTCAGCTGCAGCCCCTATTCCGCTGGACACTTTCCCTACCGTCAGCTACCCAAGAGCAGAGGCAGAGGAGACAGAGACAAAGGGAGAGGCCAGTTAGCTCTGAGAAGGAATCAGCAACAGGCAGGAAGTGCGAGAGGGCATCTCATCCACAGCAAATAGCATCCCACATGCTAGGCGAGGCAGAACCAGTTGGCACACTGGAGAGAACAGGAAACAAGTGGGACCCTGGGTGGGGGAGAAAACTCCTCCATCCCGGGTGCCAGGCCTTCAGGATTTCCTAGTTTCTCTTATCACCGAACAGGTTAGTGAACCCCAGAGAGAGGAAGGGATCTCTCCAACGTTGCCTAGTAAATTAATGCAAGATGCAGGCACCTCCTGGGGTCTCCTGACCCCACCCTGTGCCTTTATAGGCCCTCTCTCCTCAGGAGTTAGGGAACCCATGCTGTGGGCCTGCTAACCACCGAAAGGCCACTCTGATTCACACCTGTGTCACTGTAGCTTCTCAAAGTCTAAAAGCCAGAGAACCCAGCAAAGGAGACAGCAAGGAATGCAGCCCTCACCACCAACTCATCTGCAGTGCCCTCCTCTGGATACCTACCCCCTCTTGGAGGGCTGTCAGCTGCTGCTCCCCACAGGCCTGCAGAGAGGTTTACGACCCCACTCTCCTACTAACCAGTTCTGGAACCCAGGATGAAACCCCTAATCTCTGAGCTCAGTTTCCTCAATTAGGAAAATGAGGATAATAGTGCTTGCCTCATGGATTTGTGGCAAGAACTGAGTGAGAGAATGTGTGTCTAAGTGCCTGGCACTTAGCAGGGCTGGGTTAAGATGAATATGACTCCTCCCTCCCTCTTTCCTTTGAACTCAGCAGGCTCCAGCCTGTCCTGCAGCTCCTGTGTCCCTAGGAGGCAAGGGCCAGGTCTGACCTGAGTCCCTCCAGGCCAGGATCACACTGGCACCTTGTCAGCCTAAGTGGTGATTGGGATGGCAGTAAATGCGGCCTAGCTGGGAAGGCAGGGGATCAGGGTGGAGCTGCAGAAGGCAGTGCCCTGAGGGTCCTGGAGCTCAGAGTTGGGAGCAGCAGTACATGTGGGCCTCAGGGATCACTGCCTGATGGGGGGCGGGGGCCATGCTCATGAGGGCATGACAGCCAGTGCCTACCTACGAATGCTGGGTCCCTGCCCACAAGTCAAGGAGCTAGGGCAGGGGTGGCAGTGGACAGCCTAGACAGACACGGCACAGTACAAATCTGATGCACAGACAGACCCCAATGTGCACCCTCTTCCGCACCAGCTCTGAAAGACCACCCCAGGGAGGCTGCAGTCTCCTCTTCAGGGAAGCAAACAAGCACAGTATGAGATGCTGTCAGCACAGTTCCTGATTCCAAAACCCTGGAGGGAGGGAGCGAGTCTCTTAATCCACTTTACGGATATGGCCAAAGAAGTCGGTGATTTAGGCTGAAGGGACTCCACGCAGGTTATGGCCACTGTGACAAATAACAGAGACCTGCACAAGGGCTAGGGGGCAGCAACACCTTCAACCTAAACCCATGTCTGTACCTGGAAGCCCACATCTAACCCTGTGTGAAAACCTCAGATGTGTAGTAGAAGGTCAGGGATGGCCAAGCAGTTGGCAGTAGCTCCTGCAGCTCCCCAACCCTCGGTAGCAGTGTCCAAAGCTGAGGCCAGCGCATCAGATCCCAGCAAAAGCACAGGCACTAGAGGGGGTGCAGAGGGGAAAGAAAGGGATAGGAAGCAGTTGGGAAGAAGGACAGGTGCAGGGGGGCCCTGGCTTCCTGTCTCATTTGGAAAGCCGCAACCCGAACAGCAACTTTGGAACAGTCTCTCTGGGCTGCATCTGAAGATGCTGGGGCTATGGAGAATATGGCCACGGACCTGCTGGGTGAGTGTGACCCCATGACTCAGACAGATGGGATCTCCTCTGACCTTGCAAAGCCTGCCATGTTCTAGGAGCCTGAGCTTCTGGGCCAGGTACTCACTCCACTCTAGCCCACCGCCCCCAAACCTGGGAGAGGTTAGGATTCTGCTTTCAAACACACTCTGCCATTTTTCAGATCCATTTCATGAATGCCAAGAAACTTGACTCCTGCTTCTAAGAAAGGTTCAGGTACAGCAGATCAGGACAATAACCATTGTTTGCCTGATGGCCCGCTCCTTGCAGCGGCCCCCATCACAGCCTCCTCAGACAGGGGCTGTAGAATATCAAGCACTTCCTGAGTTTATATCAAAATACAGAGGGGAGGGAGGCACAGGAGGTCAGACTTGCCTGCCCGCCCACACTGTCCATGTGTGACTGTCTCCACCAGCCCAGTGTGTGAACTGGCTCTGTGGTGCTCTCCCAGAAAGGTAACAGTGATGCCATGAGACCCACGCGCAATTATTGCCTCCCTTGAGTTAGCAAAGATTGAGGCTACTTTCTAGGGTTTTAAATACAAGTCCCTAATGAGACCTTATTAACCACTTAGCTAATAAGCACTTTGTGCTACGGAGCTTCTGTGCAATCCTGGCTTAGGGAGCAATTACCCAAGCATGCCATTGAGGTTGCTGGGGTTAGGGGTGCTGCCAAGATACAGCTCTGCAGTAGAGGCCTGCTCAGTTCTACCAGCACAGGACACTCTCCAAGTCACCTAACTATGAGATCCAGGATGAAGACCATATCTTGCCTATCATTACGGCCAAAAACCCTTTCTCCATTTGCATCTACATTCCCACATCATGATGGTGATTTCTTAAGCATAGCTAAATGAGAGGACCCTTAAGGAAAAGTAGCATTGACTCTCTTCCATATGACCTTCTTGGTCAGACAGGAACCATCCCGCAATCACCACAGGCCAATACCAAGAGTGGACCAGGACTTCCTAAGAGGTCAAAAAGAGACCAGATGATGTAGAACTTGTCTGAAGGGATGAAAAGGTGCTCTGGAAGCACACCCCCAAAGACAGTGTAAAGGCAGATGTGTCCTGGGGTTCATGGTTACTGCCCTTTTGTTTCCTGACAACAGGGTGCCCTATTGGCTCCCTAAAAATGAGGACATTGCCAGCTAGACTTGTGCTAATTCCATGCTCCTCAAACTATCAGAGGTGAATGGCAGGGTTTTGCTTTTTTTTTTTTTTAATTCTCCAATCTGTTGTGGCCTGATACTTCCAGACACAATAAAAATGATCCCGCACTTGGAGGTATGGCAATGTCAAGTAGCTCTACAGGGGTCTAATATGTACTTGCTGTGCTCAGTGGGTCACAGGCCACTGTCTGCCCATGAACCACACTTTGAGGATCCCTGTTTTAGTCATTCAGGGAAAGTTTGGCTCTGGGGATCCTAAGCAAGAGATTCTCAACCAATATAGAAGCTACCAGAAGACTCATCCTGGTAATGAGCTCAGAGAAAAGTCCAGAGGTTCTCAACGAGATTTATGTATTGAAAGGCAAGCTGTGTATGTTCCTAGGGAGGGCTGTACAAGAGTAGAGCTTACATTTTGTCTGGGAATTATCTGTCCAAACAAAAGTTGGGCCATCTGATGATGTGGCCAAAAATGGGAATCTTCCAGTTGCTAGTTTTTAAAAGTTGGTCCTTTTGAAGGACTACAGGACTGCTTTTATGTATCTTAAAATATTCTTGTAATTTTGAGGAATTCAGGTATGTCTCACTATTTTTCCTCCTTTCACATTCTAATTATTTTTCAGTTAATTAGTTAGAACAAGTTGGAATGGCTGGGCACTTCACATTACATCATCTCACATCACATCAGATTAACCTCACATACAAGAATTCCCTTCTGTGAGCCTCAGCCTCCTCGTCTATAAAATGGGATCCATCACCACTCTGCAGGCCTGCAGAATTGGGGCCCTCCCAGAAGGAGCACACCACTTCTCTCCCAAGTCAGCCCAGATTCAAACACAGTGACGTCACTGTTGTCACAGCACTGTGGCCAGGTGTCAGAAGACTGCTAGACACCCACACACAGGGACGCCCAGGCAATACTGCCTCTCCTGGCTCAGAGGACACCAGTTCCTGCCTGGATGTTGAAGCCCTTGTCCCCCTGCACTGAGCTGGCTCATCTCCCCTCGGGTCTGTGACGTGATGGCCCTGCCTTCCTCATTTCTACACTCCTGGCACAGGGCACATGCTCTGAGTGAAGGAGGAAGCAGGCTCCTGGGACCATTTGTGTCCTAACAATGGGAACTTTCCTCCCTGGGCTTGGAACTCAGCCAAGAATACCAGATATCCAGGCTCTGTTTCTCCAGAGCGGGGCCACCTGTGACCACAAGCCTTGCTGTGAGCACCATGAGGCCTGAGGGGTCAGGCAGGGACAAGAGCAGTGCTTCTGGGCCTCAGAGCTGAGGGCTCTCTGGAAGGGGAGGGTTCCACAAGTAGGGCTGATGGGAGTCTCCTGGTCCCCCATGGGCCAGATCCTTGCTCACTGAGAAGGCCCCTGGTGAGACACATCAGGGGACAGAATGGGGGACTTGGGCCCTCAGCTACCGGCTAAGGGCAAAGGAAAGCACAGGCCACGCTTGAAACCATGTTTTTTGTGGGGGTCCAGAAATAATACTCAGAGTTGAAGTAAAGGAAGGATTCTAGGGCTGCTCAAGCAGCCCTTGGGTGCCAGGCTCTGTGCTGCTGATCATAGGCATTTAGCCCTCAGGGCCCTGGGAGGTGGCTCTTATAATCCCCTACCCATGGCACAGGTGGGGTTCAGGGATGCTCTAACTCCTCGAGGCTATACTCTCCTACGTGTTTGATATAGAAATGGAAACTGAAAATAACATCTTTGCCTTTAGAAAGAGAGGAATCATCTTTTTTCTCCTGACTTGTGTCTCTTAGCATAATCCCTTCCAGCACTATCCATGCTGCCACAAATAGTATGAGTTTATATTTTTTTTGAGGGCTGGGTAGTGTTCCATTGCATGCATATAGCACGTCTTCTTGATGGTGGTGATGGGCCATGGGTTACTGTGGTGGTGGATAACTACAGGGACCACACTGGAGGGGAGAAATCAAATAACTATCCAAAAATTAACAAGGAT